ACTAGAGTTTTAATTGCGTTTATAGTGCGCAAAAACAATTCGGCACGCACTTCAAAAAAGACTACTATATAATATATAATATATGCAAGTACATATGTAGTATAAATTAGTAATTCAAGATTGAATTATTTACAGCAATGAAGATCCAGCTTCGACCGTAATAGGCATTTTAAATTTCTAGTATTGATTGTGTTTCTCACATATACGTCTAAAATAAAGATTTTTAATATTGAGATAATTATTGCGAATTTTATTAAAATATAGAAATTTAAATAATTTGAATTTATACACGGCTGAGGAGGGCTAAGTAAAGCTCGAAACGTTTTGTTAAATACGTCATCTTAAAATAATAAATTATGTTATTGTTTATCGTCTTAACATTTTTCGATTAATATAATAAACCTTGTATTTTAATTTGTTATTGCTTAACAGTTTAGAAGTGTGTAATAAAAACTTTAATTATTTAAAAATATATATATGAAAAGGAACAAGAGATAATACATTAAAGTAAATAAATATTAACAACTTTTTGTTATCGTGGTTATGGGCATATATAAATTTATTTCTATTATACATGAATATACACAAGTGTATATATTCATATATAACAAAATATACATAATTACATACAGAAATACACAATGTATATATCATTTTTTAAAAATATCTTATTCTATCTTCATCCATGAGAAAATCCTACAAGAAAAAAATAAAATTAACCTTACATGTTTTACTGTAGAAAATTACTGCAGCATTATTTATCTTTTTTTATCAAACTATTGCTATGTGAAATTTCTGCTATAACTAAAATATTTTCTATCTGTATTTATGAGTGTAAAATTTTCTCAAAATTTCGAAGCGATTTATGTATACATCGGAATTGATATTCCATTGTTTATAATACAACATCAAAATGAGCCAATAAATAACCGAATAATCAATAATGCGTTGACAACAAACTCTATGAGTATTGTATGTGTACATTCTTGAATGCATAATACCTAAATCAATGAACAATTATATATTTCCCACGATTAAATATTTGTATTAATGTGTCCTATCTCATCTATTGCAGAATAATAAATCCATTGTATTATTTAATATTATATTCCATCCATTATCAAATAAAGATAATTCGAAAGTTACCGATATAATATGCATATTAATTATAAATGGCAAAGTATAAGATCAAAATATACCAGCAATAATTTCAGAATAAATTCAGCATAATACAAATCGTCAAAAATAATTATGCATGTTTCATTTTCTAATTTATTAATTAGATATTTAATAAAATAATCATACAACTGTCAAAAAAAGCTGTCTTCTCTTAAGCGCAAATAAAGTCTTTATAAAGTTTTGTAAATAAAAGTCCTTTTTCTCATTCTCACATAAATCACTTAAATAAACAAACTGAATAAACGGAAAGAATTCACTCACCCTACAGATGCTTAACCGTCACTTGATGCCTCCAAGGCTTTTTTCTCCCTTTCTCTTATTTGTTCGTTGTCACTGCTTCTTCGATGGCACTCACACAACTTTAATTCACAAAGACACAGTTAATTACAATCGCACGCGCACTAATCACCAAAATACAACGACCGTGCGGCACTTAAGGCGGCACTTCTAACATCAATTGTTCGCGACGTGTATTTTATTACATCGCGACGAAAGAAACAACGTGAAAAAAGACTCACTGCAATATTGATTTTAGCAATATCTTCTTTAAAGATATATCTTTTGTTTTTAACAACGAATAACGTCGATTTTTAAGTAATAAATAAATCATATTTCATATTATTAACTTATCGTACATTTTAAATGATATTTTAAATAATAAATGAATAAATGTATTGACGACGTAGAAAAAAAATCAAATAAAAAAAGTTCAATATTACATAATTCACGAAGAATACGTATTATTAATCTGTGGTCGGACACATGGCTTTCTGTAAGTTGAAATCTGATCCGAAACTGTATCCGACCGTGTACTATTACTAATGATCTATATATAATAATCCGGCAATTCGAGTTACAATAATGGTAAAGTTATATCTAAAGCAGTGAATTCAACGTTCGATGTAAGATGTGTTCAATTCAAATATTATTAAAAAATAATTATCAGCCGCAAATACTGCCATAGAACAGTACAAGTCCCATTTTCTACCGATTTTTATTTTAAATAAATAAATAAATTATGCATAGGTAGACAAATATCTACCTTAATAATCATCGATAATTTTACCGATTTTACGGATAACGCAGAAATTAATCGCAATTTCTAACAATATAGAAAATAGATCACGTAACTGGCGCTTTCAATATCGCGATCATAGTTATTTCAAGGAATAACGCAACGATATGCAAAAATGACGTATCGTGCGCTATCATGTGCCAGTCGATATGTAAACAGAGCTTTTACCGTCCCAAAATATTTAACATTTTATAAAATAAATATCGAATATTCTATTCTATGCATCTTATAAAATGTATATATAAATATATATATCTATATAGATATGTATCTATGATATCTATACATACGACACTAAAATCTAAAATGTGAAATCAACCGAACAGCAAGAATCAATATCACGTGAAAATGAGTAATAAATGACGGATCTATACAATTACCGCAAACGTGCAAATGTTGCACGGTACCATTAGTCAACTTGGCTAACTTGGCTTACAACTCGAAAATTATTATGACCTTGACATTTTAATACTGAGATTTACTCCAGAAGCTATTAAAATATTGTACGATTATAGTGAGACACTCTATATATATATATATTACAATACTTTTTTTTGTGTAAAATATTGCTTTTTCTCTTCAGTTACTTCGTAGATAACTACGACTCTACCTTTATCTAATTCAAATTCAATAAAATTTGAATTCAACGTTATCTAGTGATTTTACAAGTTTGCTATTAAAGTTCAATAATTTATGTCTCTAATTTCTCTGTTCTTTTTAGTATGTAGTAGTACAATAAAATTAATTGTTTATTAATATTTTTTTAAAAAAATATTTTATGAATTTGCTATTCCCCTGTAAGAGAGAACGTCTCTAGAATATGACTCCAACTTTGTTCGTGGATAGAATGCATGTTTCTTTAGAAAATGTACGCGATTAATGGAGACAAAAAATGCGCGTTTGATAGAAATCGACTGGTATGATGATTGCTTGTACATCGAATAATTTGCCGCGATGCATAGCTTTCCACGTGAAACGTACATGGGAACGATTTAAAAACGATCTACATTACTTTATCGTACACGCTAGGAATACTGAGGGGGATCGAAGCGACGTTATCTCGACTCATTCGTAAACGACTGGTGCTCGTGCTGACGAGACAACAATAACTCTTTGCCTAATGCCCTTACTACTTTACTCGTATATAATAATATAATTGCGATCACCGGCGCACTTATAAAATTCTCTGAAAGCCCTTCGCGCAACAATGTATGTGTATATTTCCAACATATGTGTATTGTGTATGTATATATATATATATATATGTGTGTATATATGTATATGTGTATATATACGTATTTCTTCCTTCTTCTTCAACAATTTGTGATAAAACAGTGCGATCTCGCTAGAAAGCCAACAATCATATGGACGGTTGCGAACGAAATTAATGGAACAGGTTTGTGGAATGAAGATCCCTCATTTACTACGATTCGCACAAAACCATTCGGTCCTTCATAGGACCAGTCTAGTCTTAAATCGCGCATAGATCTGGAAGCAAATTGACATTTTGCATATTCTCGATCTCTTGATACGTCACGATTCATCTATATTAATTCTTACACACACACATGTACGCCGCAAGTTCTATCGAAAAATATTCTTCGACGACTCTTCACTTTGCGCGATCGAACGCAAAACTATCGATCTACGTTCGAACGCTCGCGCGTTCGATTATATATATGTATTTTTTCCTTTTTTTTTTTTTTATTAATCCTTTGGAAACATTATTGTGTTAGATATTGCATAATTGCCGTTTTGAGCAATATTCCTTTTCACAACCAGTGATTAGTTGCTAACGATTCACGCATTATCGAGAAAAAAATTGCACGCGATGAATCGTTAACGAGCGCGATTGAACTACGCCATAAAAGCGCGAAATAACCTCTCGCACTTAATTGCACGCAATTATCGTTGTAACCGATAAAGCCCCAAAGGATTAATTCCATGTCCCGAATGTGTCAATCTTTCCAATTTACTACTTCACCTCACAGATCGATCCATACGCGATCGTACCAATTCAACCTCATAATATATTTAAATGACAGACATTGTCAGTATCCGTCGATATAGCGTTACTCGTACATATTTCTTCGTGAGAGAATCTAATCAGGGATGAAGATCTAATTGTGGGACGCGAAATTAACTCACATAAAACACGAAGTGTTCCCTTACGAGAAGAATTTCATCGGTTCCCATCCTATCCACGGTAAAAGCACTTTCGCTGTATATAAGCAAACAACTTGTAACAATTTATATAAGTCAATATCACCAACAATTTCCAACAATGCGTTACGACGCATTCGATGTATGATCGACGGTTTCCCTCGGAAATCTCGTCGCCGCTCCGACGAGTTCGAACTAAGCCAAATATGGCATTATCTTGCAAAATCACATAGATCATTATTTACTGTGATTGTTTCTCGAAACAACTATACGTTCCAGTAAATATCCCGAATGTCCCAAATGTAAAAAAAAAAAAAAAAAAAAAACACATTCGCAGGCACGTCTTTATATAATGCATAAATATACCTTTTTCGAAACCTTTCCTTTCTCTTTTATCGGATATATCTCTTTTCAAGACTCATCCCGAATCGCTCCCAATCGTCAAAGAATGACAGCAATTACGTAATTTAATCAGCCCCAACGATGAAAAGCACGTAATATTGACGATAAAATCCTCGAGCGGTTCGCCGATCTCCTTCGGTTATTCCATCAGGCTCGACAGAGAACCGCGCGACTCCCGATGCTACGTCATCGTCGGAGGATGCGATTCTGGTGGTGCCGGCAATTGCGGCGTCTGCCGATTCGATAGTCGCCTTGGCCATCGTTGTGGCGAGACCGGCGGCGTCGGTCTCGGCGTGTTCGGCGCGGAACCAGCGGTCAGTCGCCAATTGCTACTAGAAAACGCACTCGATCTGCCTATGGCGGAGAGGTTGGTGTTGCTGCTGCTGCAGGCGACCGCCGCCGAAAGATCCACCCTTGACACAGCCCTGAATAATCAACATTGTTCAACTTTCGGAAAGGGGGAGTATTAAGTTAGGACTGTTATTTCGATTAAAATGAGAAAACTTTGAGATGTACAAATTATATATTATATTAAAAGTTTTATATTTAAGCGGAATTGAGCGATGTCCACTTATCTTGGGGAAATATTAGGAACATGGGAGAAATCACACACGTATAAAAGTGAAGTATGAATCTGATACATATTTGTTGATAAAAAATGATTAAGTAAGATATCAAAACATCCCGGGAATTGAGCGATTACAAGCACTGCATTAATTGTTATACTTAAACACGTACAACTTGAATTATCGAGTGATTGATGAACGATGAAGAATTCGATAATCGTTTGGTTTCCGCTTAATTTCCATTTGATTTTAGCTTTGAATAACGAATATGTTTATCAAATTATACGTATTTAAGCAGGGTTGGGAAGTAACGCGTTACTTGTTACTTTTTTGTTACTTTTTTTGGTAACGATTTGA